AACCATAATTCTGGGTGCCACCTGCAGCCTTTTTTTCTCCCATTTCTTGGTTAAAGGATCATTTCAAGACATGACAGGCACTATATAAATGTAAATTGTATTGTACTATTATACTGCTTTTACACTGGGGTTCCACAGACATGGTGCAGCACCGAATTGGGAGTGTTGCCTCAAAACAAAATCAGACTGGAGAATTCCAAGCTAGTTTTACAGACCTTCAGAATGTGAGTGCAGGTATGTTCGAATAGCCATTAGAAATGTGTTCTTGTGATCTCCGTAATCCAAATAACAGTAGCACAGGCTCATAGATGTGCTTGAACATCAGCAACTCTGCTCCTGGTCTTTAATTCTTAATTCTACTCTGTATTAATACCAAAAACACATTTTTAATGACCGTGAACATCTGACGACATTGCAATAATGTTGAGATGTACACACTCATGCTGAGTTTTGGGAAATTTGGTACCAAGAAAACTAGCCATTTTACATTAGGAGTTGCCTCTGACACAGGTTTGCCTCAGGACATATTATCATGTTGTTAAAGATACACACAACTGGAAAAGCAACATAAAACCCATTTGCTCCTCATCAAGACGGAAGAAAATGGAAAATTATTTGTTTCCCCAGCACTGAAGTCATTCACCTCATAAACCTAAAAAGCATCCTGCAAAGTGCAGTATGACCCCTTTGTAACCCAACTTGTTATAACACTGATTTGCTGATAATGCTGAGTTGCCTCCTTTAACATTTTCTTACTTAAAAATCCCAAATCTCGAAATTGCACCATCCAAATCCATCACCACACGTGAAATCGTGCTTCAATTCCTGTTGTCACGCTTCAAAGCAAGTCAGCAAAACAACAGGAATGAAGTGCGATGACATGTTTTGAAGTATAATAATGGGATTTGAAGCATGACACCACAAATCTTCAAGCACGATACTTGTGGGTGAAGTCACACAGCTTTCTCTGAACACACATAATGCCATCGCTGGTGACGAGTTATAAGGCAAGTTGGAATTTTATTGACCACATCTGCTCCCCTTTAACAGAATTCTATAATACAGTAAACTATGGAATGTTGAATTAGGCATATGTATAAATATATAAATAACTGTGTCCAGAATATTGACAACCTGGTGACTTAAATGCGAGTGGCAAATTATCACAAATTATCAGCCATTTACTGTATTGGCATTCCTGCTCTAAGATATATTTGTTGAAGTGTGCCAATAGGTATATTTTACATACGGGTCACCAGTGCTATAGTTATGTTCTTATTCTACATCATAAGAAATTTGTTCACTTTACGTTTGTGTTTTATGTATTGTGCTATAATAATATGCTGCCTTGCATAAGCATGCCAAATGTTCACTACTTTTTACAGTACCAGAAACTAACATTTGAAGTACATGTCAAAAATACGTGACGAGTTTAAATTAAAAATAAATGGATGTAGCAAATTTCAGAAAGAAACAATTGAATTTAAACTACAACTATTTGAGATCCTTATTTCAATGATTTTTTGGAACTAAAAATCAGTGTCAATGAAATGAAATAACATAAAACAAACTCAGCCAGGAGGAACAACAACAAATTACAAAATAGGGTTACAATTCCGATTTAAAATCACATTCTGAACAATTGTTTAATGGGATAAATTCAGTTTGGTACGTAATGGTAAGCAGGTGTACATGAGAGATGATTTGTATTCTGGGTTGCAGACATAAGAAAATATTGTTTGGCCCTATTTTTTACAACACAGGGAACCACTAAAAAAACACTGATGGGTGAGCTTTCAGCCACTTGCCTCTGCAAGTGGACTTCTAAATCCTCTCTCTTTGGCTGTACCTTTGGTCACCTTCTGCCTACATTCTGCCTATCCCCTACCCCTACTCAAGCTCCCACACCGTCTCTGTAAAATGCTCTGTAAGTCCTATTTTAGTGCAACTTGTTTCTTACTGTAGTAGTCGTTTTTCCTCAAGTCTGTTTTATCTGTTTTCATTTAATCTTGCTCTGATTTTAAAAAAANTTGGACAGCTTAGTTCTACTCGTGTAAAGTTTCAAATGAACTTCAGTCTAAATTACCAATTGCCTTAATCACAAAAGCTCACTTGGTGGCAAACTTGTTCAGGGTTTGAGCAACGGGACATCTAAGACTGCAAATGATTGGAGATAGCAATCTATTCTTGCTAGAAAACATAGCAAAGTAAGAATCCAGAAATGGAGTGCTAAAGTTAAAATTTATCTGCAGTTACAGATTTTTTCGTTTTAAAAAATACATCTAATTTTATAAATTGGGACACACTGCACTGCAAACTGCATTCACTTAAACAGCATTTCCGTCTGAGTCGCAAGTGCTCCGAGACTCTGCCCCGCGTGAAGGGCGCTAGTTAACCACAAATTGTGGAAGGTGTTGTTTCTTACCTTTCCTTGGGAGTACCAATGCCGTGCTTGCCCAACAAATGGGTACTGAGATGTTTCTTCATAACAAATGCCCATCTGGAATACAATAAAAGCAGATTTTGTTAACTTCTATTTTGCTCCGTGGGTACTTTCTTCAATCACATTTGTTTTTACTATATTTTAGGGATATTTTATCATATTTTACCACAAAATCCAAATACATCTTGCATATTGAATGAAGACTGAGTTTGTAGTGATGCAGACAAAACAAAATCCTGAAGCAGATGAAAGTACATTATTTAAAATGTGGTCTGGTGCTGGGCTCAATTCCCAAACCAACTAACTGATTACTAGATCAGCAATATCAGCTACAACAACAACTTGCATTTACATAGCGCCGGGTAGAGTTCCGGAGCTGCCCCTCACTGAAATTTCTCAGCACAACGGGTATGTTTCATTAATGCTCAAGTGGGTCCAAACAAGATGTGCCACACAAAGGAAATGGCTCTCATCTTGTGGGGACCATAACATGATTCCTCCCATAGTTTGGGCTAGAGGTGAGAGGTAAATGCACTATTATATGTCCCTTTTTGTATGAATTCCCTCTCTTGGGGGAAGGGGCAGGGGAAGAAAGGACATCCATTAACATGATGGCTCGATTATAAGAGCCCACCCTGGCTGTCTATGAAAGCATCACTATTCATGAATAAGATCATACATGCTGAAGGTCATGAGTTGCACACATATTCACATGTTCAACAGTGTCCTAATTTCTTTCCTCACCCCCACCCCTCCACTCCCACCACCCACCCCAAACCCAGTTGTCTGAAGGCAACATACACCCAATGTTCCGAGGCTTAGAACAGTTCATAGTGTGAACAAAGCATTGTTAGTACTTTAACACTCAGCACCACTGCTCATCCATACTTCACTGCATTCAGAACCTAAAGTACTTCAAAAGATCACTAAGATGATTAATCAAATGTCAAATTAAGTATTTTCAGCCGTTATCTAGTAGATGTAGGGAGATTAAACTTCATTTTTACTTTTATACAAGAGTCACCACCAATGCTAAATTAAAAGCACGTTATTGCTTTTCAATGCTATTATAACATCTGTGTCAGAAATAACATTACAATTACATCATGCAGTGAAATTGCATTTTGAAGTTCAAAGTCAATTTGGAAATAGTTACAGTAAAATGAACAGCACAAAATCAGATTTAGAAAAACAAAGCTCTCAAATATCAGAAACACATGTGTATAATGTAGCAGACATAACTAACAAAACAAAAGCAAGTCGCTGTAAACATTGGCGTGAACATTTTTTGACTGTACCTGTCCTTCAGATACCCAATTATCATGCTCTAAGAGGCACCATTCTTTGTATTAAATATGTGGTGCAAAACACAGGTGATATGTAAGAAAAAAGCTTTTAATTAGTGTTTAATTACCTAATTTAGTTTTAGTACAGAACGAAACATGGTATGCATGCAGACATTTTGGCAAGATGCCACATTATGTTAATAGCAGCACTGTAAAAACTCAGTTAGTGGTATCTGTTGCATAGAGTCTAAAATTTCATATACAAAGTAGGCATGAACAGCCAAGTTTCAGCAGAACACTGAAATAAAATCAATTTAAACTGAAGAGAACAAAGATCCATCCAACAGGAATGCATTTCTTGAAAGCCATTAATGAATTAATGAATTTAATAGCTGGCAAAATAAAAAAGGACACCAGCACACACCTAATAAAAAAAGGTAATTAAATATAAAGGAAAATCAAAGTCAATCGATAGCTATGTTGAAGGATGAGACATTAAACCGAGGTCCTGGCTGTTCAGGTGGATGTTAAAGATCCCACGCCACTACTCAAAAAGAAAAGAGTTTCTCCCAGTGTCCTGTCCTGAGGATACGGCTGTGCACAAATTGGCTGTTATGTTTGCTTACAAATGCAAAGTCACTATACTTTACAGTGAATCCTGTTAAGCGCTTTTGAGATGTCATACCCACTTGAAAGGCGCTATATCAAATACAAGGAGTATTATTATTACCGCCATATTATTCATCCAGTCAAGTGACTCAGACTGGACTGCAGCTGTTGTCAATGCTGCTCAGTACCATTAGACAATAGGTGCACCTTGTGAGTGGACTTGATTTCTCTACCCCACTCATTCTGATACAGATCAACCCTTGAGTTCATTTGCCTGGCCGAGAACCAGCAAAACAGACCTGTTGTGGAGACTAGTGTTTGGACCAGTATTAAAACCCAGATCCTGATCATGCGAGTACAGCACCCATAAAATGAATATTTTTTTTGTCGCATGAAAAACAAAACAATTGCCTTTGCAGATGTCATAGAACTCAAGGCAATATTCACAAGTATCCCGGCCAACAATCCTCCAGATTAGATGGTCATTCACCTCATGTTGGTGGAACCTTGTTGTTTTATACACAGGGTGACCAAAAAGTTGTGATACCATTACAATATTTAATAAATCTTAAAGAAATTATAATTTTTTTAGATAATAGGGTAGTTATTTTTGGTCACCCTGTAGTTGCTGTGTTTGCCTACAAAAACCCTCACTACAGTTGACTAGGAAGTACTTTGCAACATTTTGATGCGCTACTGGGCTAACAAAAAGTTAAGTATTTTCGCATATTTATTCATTGCAACACAGCTGGCTTATAATAGGCATCAACCCATCCTCAGACTTGAGTAAGCAGTCAGCACATAGACTGTTCTCAAGCTTCAAACACATATGTTGCATTGAGCATGGGACTTACAAATAAAACCATGGATCAAGGCACGATCAACAAGACTGTTTCCACAACAGGTCTCCACATCTAGTAGACTGGACTACAGCTGACCAAACAAGTCATAAATTAGTTACAAGCATTGAAGAGGTCACACCCAACTCAAACACAGAACCATAAAAAAGACACATTATGAGTTTGAGTTTGGCACCATATTAATAAAGTAATTTAATATGCTCTTAGCACATTCAGTATTGCCACTTTGTCTAGAAAAGCAATCAAATTTGTTTTCATTTAATATGCAACACCAGCCTCTCGCTTGTTTTCTGTTGAACAGTAGTCATTGTGAATGGGGTTCCCTTGACACTCTCTGCTGGGATGAATTGTCATTTGAATATCCCTGCCCAATAAACTATTATTTTAATTACTTCACAACTTTTTTGCAACATTTCAACAACTTTTCCATTTACTTTATAGAGTACATCAGTTTCCCTTTCACCACTGCTCCCATCTTTAATTCATTTAATCAGCAAATAGAATGTCATAGTACATCATATATTTGACTGACAGTTGGACAATTAAAAGGGTTAACTGTAACTTGCTTGTACAGTGAATCAATAGGTATATGTTTCACAAAACCTTTAAATCAGGAACCTACTTGAAACTGCTCCAAGCTGCAGACATTCAAAGAAAATGGGGTAAAATAACCCCGAGTTGGGATTGTTATCCCTGGGGACTTGAATGAACATCACAGCCCATCTTTCAACAGAGTTAGTGAGTTGTTCTTCTAAGCTCTTAGGATAATATCTATCTACTGTCCAAATTCAGTTGCAAGTGACTCAGCAGTTCTCATCTTTTTGATGAGTACTGTAGTTAACAACTCTGCAGAGGATGGTGTCATCAACAATGAGAACGATGTTTCTGATGACACTGACGAAGACAATAAATCATTCTTCCCTGAGGGACCTCAGCTTCAGAATTGAAATAAGACTGCAAATGTCCATTTATCATGGCCTCCTGCCTGCATTGTCTGAGTTGCTTTGAATATCTAGTTTACCAGTCAGGAGGTATGTCACAAAAGACCATCTCCTCATTGAAACCCGGATGTAACAACAACAACAAAATTACATTTGTATAGCGCCTTTCACGTCAGGAGGCCATCCCAAGGCGTTGGACAGACAGAAGTTACGGACCCTAGCTAAGGGTCGGAGTGGGAGAGGGCAGGGCGGGAAGCAAGGAGATCGAAAGCATGTGTATTCTATTGAAGGCTTAAGAATTCTTTTGAGCTATAACGCTAAATCCATACTGGAGGCTTGAGATCAAAATTTGATTATCTTTTGTGGAGTCCTGTAGCTCAGTGGTTAGAGCACTTGCCTTGCAAGCGAGACACCTGGGTTCAATTCCAGGCAGGGTGAAACCTTGGGCAAGTTTCCTTACTCCACACGCCTAATAATAATCCCTTCAAAAAACAAAATCAATAATAAATTGGTCATTTTCAATCCACGACTGTCTGTGGGACACTGCTGTGTGCAACTGGCTGCCGCGTTTTGCCCACAAAAATACGGTCAATTCACTTTACAGCATACTCTGTGAAGCGCTTTGAGACGTCTAGAAGACGTGAAAAGCGCTATATCAAATGCAAAGATTATTATTAATATTATTATTAAAAATAGTTTGAGAGAAAACAGTTTTTCATTCATTCTGGTTTCTATGAGCATTAATCCTAGCTGGGTTATGGCTCATTCATCTGTGTCAGTGGATAAGGATAATAGGCATTATAATAGGTATTATTACCCTGCGTGAGGACCACTATATAAATGCAAATTGTTGCTGTTGTTGTTGTAATCCCATTATTCACACGCATCATAAAGTTAGGTAACTTTATTGACTAGTCAAATTGATCCCACTAGTTCTTTGGGTACAGCTTTGAAAACGTTTCAATCTATGTAATCAGCAATACTGTGGTACATTTTCTGGCATCAAGTATTGAACATTCATTTTCTTGTGCCTTATCTTAATTTGGTTAATTATGTTGCCATACTTCAGTGGAACTTAGCACCTTCATTTAGAATTCAGATGACATCGTTGCAAATCTACCAAGCAAAATTCTTTCAGTAAGTAAATTTATTGTACTATTACTGTGGTTTCCCCAATTATAAGCACACAGTGCCAAGGTTGATGCTTTACTGACAAGTGGAAGTTACTACCCAGAGTATTAGATGCTTTACTTTATGCAGAAGTGTTCTACATGACCAGTATGGTTAGGATGAAGAATAGTGAGGTTGGACTCAGTGTTGGAAACAGATCCGACCAATTTTCAGCAGTCTTTTCACCTTTT